TCATGCTGTTAGTCCTGGCCTCCCCACCCAGCAGGCTCCTGAGCTTCGTGTTCAATAGCCCCTCTCTCCTATCACAGCCTGTCCATCCCCCAGGCTCAGCAGAGCCCTCTGATGCTAGTCCACAAACATTTTTGGGCATCCATTCCCTCTCTCCTGTGCCGACTGCTGAGACTTAAATCCCTGCCCTGATTTCAGCAACTCTAAAACATCAACCTTTTGACTAGTTGCCCTGCCGCCCCCTCCTCGCCCCCACTGCCCCCCTTTGCCGGGCCCGACCATGCTGCCTTCCTGGTGAAGTCTCACCGGTGGCTGTCGGGTGAAGTCCAGACTCAGCTAGGTGTCAGTTCTCGGCGGCTGGGTCCTCCCTCCCCACCAGCCCCCGCTCCAGCTTCCCATGTGGGCCCTGGCACTGGACTGCTCTGGTGACTTCTTGCCAGGACGCCCCCACTTCCTCTCTACCTGACAAATGTTTACAGGGGGTGGGGGGAATTTTAAATTCAGCAGACCTCATGTAAATGTCTCCCCTCTTCTTTCCTGCCCGTTTAGGAAGCTTGATCTGCCCGGCAGGGCTTTCAAAGCTGCCTCCGAAGGTGACTTTGAGCTGCAGGGATATGCCTTTGAGGCGGCAGAGGAGCAGCTGAGGCAACCTCGGACCGTGCGTGTGGGGCTTGTTCAGAACAGAATCCCTCTCCCCACGGATGCCCCTGTGGCAAAACAGGTGTGGCCTCCTTTGACCAGAAATATGTCAACGGGGCTGTGGCCGCTCTGTGTTTTGAGCATGTCCACGGTCCCCGGCTGGCCGCTCACTCTGGGTCCGCAGGCATCTCAAGTGGTCACCCTGACCACCCTCCTCCTCTCCAGCCTGCATCTCCGGCTCTTCTTTCTCTTCTAGCTCTTACCTTTCTGGCTCTGCCTTCCTCACCCTCCTCACTGTTCTTTCCACTTTCCCCTCCACTTCTTCTCCTGCAATTGATCCATTGTTCCATTTGTCAATTGGGAGGGTGCCCTTTTGTCTGGCTCATGATCTCTCCATGGAACTCTGCCTCTCAGTCTCCTGCCAGAAGGCCACCTGCCAGCACACACCAGTCAGGACCTGTCCGTATCCCTCTGTGTGTTCCTCTGCCTTGATCCTAAGGGCAGGGACTCACTATACCCAGCTGTCTGTCAGCTGATGGTTCCTGTGGGGTTGTGGGAACATGATAGGCATTCTCTTATGACCTTACAGTTAATACAAGTGTGACAGCATCTTGTATTTCCCTAAAGAAAATTGTTGTCACAGACACAGGTGATGTGTTGTACACACTTCTTCATGGCATTCCTCCAGCTGCTCAGACCTTCAAGGCTTTCTCTGCAGAAGTGTCCTCAGAATACAGTGTGCTTGAGAATTCTTAGGGATTCTCAAGAAACCTCAGGTCAGTTGGATTCCAGGTCAGGTTCTGCGTCATCTTTCACCTTGGTTCTTCCTCTGTATTTGTTGAATTGAAAGATTTCTGGTTCTTAGTTCACTTTTTGTCTCTGGATTAGTTGATTGTGTATATGTCCCCTCAACCATCCCAGATTGTCAGGTCATTGGGGGCAGGGATGCTGTCCTCACCCCCACAGCACCTAGAAGCGTGCTTTGCACCCCATCAGCACTCAGCAAACGTCCATGGAACTCCTGTGTGCACAGTCTCGTGGGGAAGAAACAGAGCATCGTAAAGAGTTTGTGCTTTCCAGGTTTTCAGCCTGGTTCCTCTGGTCTTTATGAACAAACACTTCTGAATGTCTCCTGGGAGCCAGGCATTGTGCTGAGGACACCGAGGAGATGAGGACACTTTCTTCTTGCCCCTAAGGAGCCTGTGGGGTCATGGGAGTGACAGACAGTGGAGGAACGTGACGGCACAGCGGGAACAGTGCTGTCATAGGGGCGTGCTGAGGTACCTCAGCCCCTTGCCAGGAGAGTTGGCCCTCTGTGGGTGATGGGTGATGTGGATAACACATCTAGGGAAGATTGGGTGGGGGAAGGAAGCACATTCGGGTGGAGGGCAAAGCTGGGAAAGGCAAGTCATTTGATGATAAAATACACATAGGAAACTAGAAGTGGCAGGACAAGGCATCCCCGAAGGCTTGCATGCAGGACGGTGGGAAGTGGACTGTGTCACAGGGTAAGGGAGCAGTTAACCTGGGGATGCTGTGCAGTGGGCCGGCTCGGTGTGGGCCCCTCTTGCAGTAAGCAGCACACATCCTCATATACGCCTCTCAGCAGCCCCACAAGGCAGGCGGTGTTCTCCCCATTCTCAGGTGAGGAAACTGAGGCTCAGAAAGGCAGCATCCAAGTGTGTGTGGAACCCCAGAGCCTCTGCACCTCCACCTTTTATTGCAGATATTGGACCTGATGATTTCAGAACCTCCCTGCCCTACTTATCCTCTTGCAACTGGCTGGGTGGGAGTTGTTGTTCCACATGCATTGAGATCAGTTGTAAAAATGGTCTCAACCAATAGAACTAAACGGGCTCTAATCCTCGCTCTTTAAATTGCCAGGTCGCTGCGGTTCACAGGCGCATGGAGGCCATCGTAGCGGTGGCTGCAATGTGTGGAGTCAATATCATCTGTTTCCAGGAAGCGTGGAGTGAGTCTCTCTTGGGGTGCTTTCTCTCCCTCCTTCAAACAATAGTGTATTATCTCCATGTCACCAAGAGTGTCTGCTACTCAGTTTTTAAAAATCTCCTTTCTTTTGTCATCCATAGAAAGGTTCTTTGACAACAACGCCAGAAACCCAGGAACCCCGGCCTTCCTCCCTCCCATGCGCCCCAGTCTGTTGTCTCTTCCTATCAGTTCTTCCTCCTAAATCGTTCTGCATTCATTCATTCCTTCCTCTCCACCTCTCACCTCGGCTTCTGTAATCACCTCCAGCTGGTCTCCTTGTGCCCTCTACTCTGGCCCCTTCTAACTGGCTCTCCACACCTTCTAGGAAGGATCTTTACAGAATTCGACACTGCACTCCATAGTCTGTTCCTTCTTCCATCTCTGCAGCCTCATCTCTGCTGGGCTCTGCCCTGACGTCTCTGATCCTTCACTCCCCTAGGGCACCTCTCCCTCCTCCTAGGCCATTGCACCAGCTGCTCCCTCCGCCTGGTGTGTGTCCCCCTCCCCTAGCCTTTTTAACCCTGTCCAACCTTCAGATCTCAGTTCAGAGCCTGCCTCCCTATCTAGAGTTGCATCCCTGTTATATACTCCTGGTACCATGTACATTTTCTTTATTTCTTTTTTATTTTTATCAAAGTTATACATGCTCATGGTTTGGAGTCAAATGGGTCTACAAGATCTGTTACCAAAAAGTACTTATCCTCCTCCCCAGAGGCAACTACTTTCTACTCGTAGCTGATTCTTTTGGAATTTACCTTTGTTTGTGTTGCTGCTTCCTAATTTTTCAGTTTTGCGTCATCTGTTGACTTCCCACTGTAGAAGAAGACAGCATTAGTCCTTTGCCTCCTTCTGCCCCCTCTACACACGTGTACCCTTCTGATCCCCCATCCGTTCTCTGCCAAGCGTTTTTGTAAACTTTGATTTCTTTTACTAAACAACTTTCTGTTTTCCCTGGAGTTTGCTCTGTTTTCTATATATTTATCCCAAATTCTACCCCAAACTTTCTTCCGGCTTCCTAAATCCCCTTACAAGGTTTAGACAAGTGAAGCAGTCTGTTGGTTCCATCTCCTGGAAGAAATCTGTCCCAGAGCCTTCTGACTGCTCTGATCTGAATTAGTTGCCCCCTTTGCTGGCTACATGGCTCTTGTCCTGGGATTTCCCTCCACCATCATCCTGGGGAGTCCCTGAGCCTTGCTGCTGTGTTCCTCCTGTCCACGTCTTCCTTGTTCTTGCTTCACTCCCTCATTTTGGTTGAGTAGTTCCCCGAGAAAGATCACGTAGGAGGTAAACTTTTTGAGACCTTGCATATCTGAAAATATGTTCCTCCTGCGACTTGCTTAATAGTTTGGTTGGGTATAGAATCCTAGGTTAGAGATCATTTTCCTTCAGTAGTTTGAACACATTGCTCCATTGTCTTCTGGCTTTGGGTGTTTTTGACTAGTCTAAAGTCATTTTGATTTATGACCAATTGTTTATGATCTGTTTATTTTTATCTGGACGGTTGTAGGAACTTCTCTTTGTCTCCAATACTCTGAAATGTCATAATGATGTGCCATTGTATGTATCTATTTTAATCCATATTGGAGGCACTCAGTGGGTTCTTTCAGTCTAGAAACTTGGGTCCTTAAGATCTATGAAATTTTCTTATATTGTTCCATTAGTGATTTTCTCTCTCTTCCTAATATTCTCACTGTTAGAATGTTGGAATCTTGGACTAGATCCATAATTTTCTTATGTATTTCCTCCTATTTTTCATCTCTTTTTTGCTCAGTTTTCCAGTAGATTTTACCTAATTTGTCATTTAGCCTTCTATGTAGTCTTGCATTTCTGCTGTCATATTCTGAATTGAATTTACAAGCATTCTTTTGGTCTGAAAGTTCCTGTTTTGCCACATCCTGTTCTTATTTTTTTTTTCTTTTTTGTGAGGAAGATCAGCCTTGAGCTAACATCCATGCTAATCCTCCTCTTTTTGCTGAGGAAGATCGGCTCTGAGCTAACATCTATTGCCAATCCTCCTCCTTTTTTTTTCCCCAAAGCCCCAGTAGATAGTTGTATGTCATAGTTGCACATCCTTCTAGTTGCTGTATGTGGGACGCGGCCTCAGCATGGCCGGAGAAGCGGTGCGTCGGTGGGCGCCCGGGATCAGAACCTGGGCCGCCAGTTGCAGAGCGCGCGCAACTTAACTGCTAAGCCACAGGGCCGGCCCCATGCTGTTCTTATTTTATAGTTGCAATATCTTCTCTTATCTCTGAGGATATTAAGTAGTGTGTTTTTCCTCCATGCATGATCCCTATTTACTTCAAACTGGTCTTTTTTCCCCCGATTGCTTATATTTTAAGAATTGGGGATTAAAAAGCTGATGGCAAGCTTTGAGCTTGTGGGAGGGGCTCCTCCGCTGAGGTTCATGATGGGATGCCCCAGCTTAGCTGTTTGTTAGGTAATCCCCCATGTTCGTGTCTTTGGGTCATTCTGTTCAAGTTGGTCAGATTCCCCAGAGAAGCTTCTTCTAATCTCCTGCCAAGAAGAGAAAGAGGATGGAAGTCCAGTGTGCTTAATCTCTCATGTTTTTGACACTCTACTCACCTTCATCTGTCCTGGTTTCTCCAAGGCCAGAGACCCTCTGTTTTTCTCTGGAAGATGAGCTTCTAGCTTCTGCTGGGGTGAGAGGAGCATGTCTCAGCCTCTTGCAGTGGATGGAGGGATCTGGGTTTCTGATTGCTTCTTTTTTCTTTTTTTGCATATGCAATTCAATTTATTTGCTGTTTTACAACTTATAATTCCAAAGGCTTTATAATATCACATTTTCTTAACTTGTTTGTAGGTATAATAGCTTTATTAGTTTAAATTAAGAGAGGGATCACATGCTCCAAACCGTCATGACAATGCAATATTTAGCTCCTCTTTGTAGCTGGAACTCAGCAATTTGTTTCCTCTACTCCTGCTGGATATTTCCTAAACTTTACAGCATCTGTCTCAAATCTCTGTGTTTACTTATTAATTTCTAAGGTACCTTGGTTTTTGATCTCTCACAGTTACCTGCCCCAGGAACAGAGAATGGATTATAGGCAGGATTCAGGGACACGGGTAAGGCTGCTGGGCCATGGCATGCACATAAAAAAAGGGTCTGGTGTTATTGCCCTCAAAATATACATTGTTTTCAGAAGAGGAGTTCATTTTCTAGGCTGGTCTAGTTCGACATCTGCGACTGGGAATGTCTACGGTGACACACCAAGCCGTGCTCCTATAACTGCCACCTGGAGCAGATTATATCTTCTGATCGCTTCTTAAGCAGACTTGTCGACCAATCCTTCTTGGTTGTCGCCCCTCCCTGCTTCCCCACCTTCAGAGCAACCTGGTGCCTCTGGCTCCTGAGCTTTCAAGGGGTTTGTGGTGGAGAGTGGGGTGCTTCCTGGCCTCCTGCACTATTGGGGGGCGGAATCAGCGTTTGCAGATCTGCTAAGATATCTATACTCATCCCTCTGCTCTCCAACCTCCCATATTTTGTTGCTGTTGTCTCCCAGCACCCCATCCTTGAGGGTTTATATCTTTTTTTTTTTTTTTGAGGAAGACTGGCCCTGAGCTAACATCTGTTGCCCATCTTCCTCCTTTTTTCTCCCCGAAGCCCCAGTAGATAGTTGTATGTCATAGTTGTACATCCTTCTAGTTGCTCTATATGGGATGCTGCCTCAGCGTGGCTTGATGAGCGGTGGGTAGGAGTGGAGTGTGCAAACTCAACCGCTACGCCACCGGGCCGGCTGCTGGCTTTATATCTTTGCATATAAATCCCTTTACTTCCATGTTGGTGAAGGTCCAAGGAAAGAACAAAGGTGTGTGTCCAATTTTCTATCTGTTCCCAGAAGTTCATCTCGTTTTTCATGTCTCGTTACACATGTACTTTCCCTCTTGTTTATGCGATGCTCTTGATTGGTCTGCATCTTCCATTAGACTGTGAGCTCCATGAGGTCAGTGCCTGGGTGGTGTTTGTTTATTTTTCCCATCCCAATCCCCACCCGTATCTTTTTCTTATGTTAAAAAATCTAATTGTGGTAAAATATGCATAACATAATGTTTATCACTTTAATGGTAGGTAAGTGTATAATTCAGCGGCATTCAATACATTCACAGAGTTGTGTAACCATCACCACTAACTATACCCAAAACTTTTTCATCCTTCCCAACAAAAACTCTGTACTCACTTAACAATAACTCCCCCTCCTCCCCCACCCCTGGTAAGCTCTATGCTGTTTTCTCTTTCTGTGAATTTGCCTGATCTCATATAAGTGAGGTCGTACAGTATTTGTCCTTGTGTCTGGCTTATTTCACTTGGTATAGTGTTTTCAAGTTCCATCCATATTGTTGCATGTGTCAGAATTGCATTCCTTTTTATGGCGGCATAATATTTCACTGTATGGATAGACCACATTTTGTTTATTCATCTTCCCACCCCCATTTTATCTTTGGTGGCTTGAACAATCCCTGGTACGTGACAGACGCTAAAAAATATTTACTGGATGGTTTAACCAACTTCTTCCCTTGGTTGGATCTGGAAAACCCCCACTCATTCATCAAGGCCTAGTACAGAGACCCCTCCTTTGGGGGCCCTGGGGACTTCCCTATGCAGAACTGAGCACTCTGTGGTGTCCTGCAGCCACACCAGGTTGTAAGTCAGCTCCCTCCATCTATGCCGGCAGTTTCTGGGGACAGGGCCAGGTCTAAGTCTAGAGCCTGGTCTAAGTCTAGAGCCTGACTCATGGAGTGTTGGTTCAATGAGTGGGGAATCCTTTTCCCCTCTAATTTGAAAACTGTAGTTGGGACTTTGCAGGCAGCCTCCCCCAACCTCCGTTCCACATCCTTCTTTTGAAAGTTTGTTTACATTACAGTGGATGTGTAAACAGGAAAAGAAGCCATTAAAATGGAAATGGAGAGCTTAGCCACCTGAAGTGAAATCGGAAGGGGAGGTCGTATTCTCTTGGGGGCGTTTGAGTCTCTCCTAGTGCTCTCTGAAAGCTGAGAGTGAATGGCCATTAAGGGTCAGCGTTGTTATCAACAGCTTTTTTGTGGGCTTCCTTAAAACAGTTCATCCCCCTTCACCGAAGGCGAGCCTGGCGCGTCTTGAGCCTGGTGCCAAGGCCCCTGGGGCTGTTGCTGGCAGAGCCTGCTGCCCACTTAGCTGCCTCTGTGGGGCCACCACCCCTGGTGGCTGAGATGGTGGTAGTGTCTTTGGTGGTCTCTTCACAAGAGTCACCTTAGGACCAGGCTTCCTGAGACTGGAAGGAATTGGGAGGCTGATGCTTCTCTTCCTTCTCTGTGAAATGAAGAGAGTCACACCTGCTCCGCAGGGGTATTGGAGACAAGCTGCCCGTTACCAGGCCTGGCACTGTGCTGGGCATGTGGCTGGCGTGTGGGAAAAGGTGGCTACAATTATTACCCCCGACAGACCACACACCCCATGCCTCGACCAGTTAGAGCACTCGCCAGTCACATCACACAGCTTCCCACAAACCTCCCTGCAAATTAGTCAGTTCAGAGCCAGCAGAACAATAGCAAGCATCTGGAAACTTCCATCAGGCTAATAACCCTGAAAGAAATGGACTTGGATTGTTGGGAGTAGGAAGATCTAGAACATACAGGATTGGTCCAAACAAGGAATTCAAAACTCCAAATCAAGAAGAAAAAGTCAAACAGCCCAGTAGGAAATAGGCAAAGGATACAAATGAAGGGATCCACCTCACTGGTGGTAAGGGAAACGCATATTGAATCACAGTGCGATACCAGTTCACACCATCAGACTGGCAGGTATTAAGGAGTGCGAGTCTTGCAGATATTCCAAGTGTGGCCGCTGCTGTAGAGCAATGGAACACAAAGCCAAAGGTCCCTGATGCCCAGCTCCATCACAGTCCCCTCCCTCCCCCACAAAGGAATCCACCACTTTGAACCTGATGTGCATGGTGTTCTTTGAATTGTTACTACATTTATATGTACCCGCTGTTTGAAAAAAAAGCAAACAGAAATCTGTGAGTTTAATGAAATTTCCTATTGAATTGGCCTCCTTCCTGGTGGCATCTAGCCAGAGATCATAGGAATAATGCATTTATCCTTGGGGAGTGCTCAGCCCATCCAGTGGTTCCAGAACTTCCTCTGGGCTCATCAAGTGAGTGGCTTTTCTTGTTGCTGAAGAAGGCTCCCTGTCCCTGGGAGGAGGAGCGTTCCCATGGTGATGCTCCCACCGAGGGTCCCAGCGCCATCCTCAGTGGCCCTCTGATACTTTCTCCGAGGAGTCTCGGCTGCGCTCTTACCAACCTGCAGTAACAATTCGGGGCTGTACCTTTTGCAAATTTTTTTTAACATGTATATGTATATTTTATTGTGGTAAAATATACATAACAAAATTTTTAAGCATACAGTTCTATGGCATTAAGTACATTCATATTGTTGTACAACCATCACCACCATTCATCTCCGGAACTTTTTCATTTTCCCAAACTGAAACTCTGTACCCATTAAACAGCAGTTCCCCATTCTCCCTCCCCCAGCCCCTGGCAACCACCATTCTACTGTCTGTCTCTGTGAATTTGACGACTCTAGGGGCCTTATATAAGTGGACTCATATAGCATTTGTCCTTTCGTGACTACTGTCTTATTTCACTTAGCATAATGTTTTCAAGGTTCACCCATGTTGTAACAAGTGTCAGAATTTCCTTCCTCTTTTAAGGTTTAGTAATATTCCAGTGTACAGCTATACCATGTTTTGTTTATCCGTTCGTCTGTTGATGGATACTTGGGTTGCTTCCACCTTTTGACTATTGTGAATAGTGCTGCTATGCACATGAGTGTGCAAATATCTGTTCAAGTCCCTGCTGCAATTGTTTTTGAGGCTGTAGGAAGGACATTTGGCCCAACCCCTTGTTTTGCCATGAAGCCCAGGAGGATAGGGTCGGCCCAGTGTCTACAGCCAGGGACAGGACTCAGAAGCTAGGCCGAGGCACTTGGGGCCATATTATCTTGTGGATACTCTCCACTGCTGGGCTAAGGAGTCCCCCCTCAGAGGCCATGAGCACTGGATATGATTCTGACCTTGTTCTTCTTCACAGCTATGCCCTTTTTCTTCTGTACGAGAGAGAAGCTTCCTTGGACAGAATTTGCTGAGTCAGCAGAGGATGGGCCCACCACCAGATTCTGTCAGAAGGTAGGACATTAACTGCTCCTCTCACAGCAGCTGCCAAACATGTGGTCACAGAGTGGGCCTTTCGCCACGGAAAATGTACCCGTTTGGTGCTTGTTTTGCCAGATAAGATTAGATAAGACTGTTTGCTGCCCTGTTTTAGTGGACTTTCCCTTAAAAATCATAGAGTTTCAGAGCCAGAAGGGCCCTTAATGGCTTTTTCAGGTGAGGGAGCTGCAGCCCAGGAAGGGGTGGTCTGGGGGTGACTCCCATAGTAGGTTCTGCAGCAGTGAGTGGCAGAGCTGGCACTCGGGGACCAGGGACAAGTCAATTGCTTGTCCAGAGCTCTGTTACTCCAACTGCTGTTTTCCTGAGTTATGTAAGCTTCTCTGCATGGCTGTCTCATCAGTGTAGAAATTGGCCTTCATTTTTCTTCATTAAAACCTCATAATAGGGGCTGGCCCCGTGGCGTAGCAGTTAAGTGTGCGTGCTCCGCTGCTGGCGGCCCGGGTTTGGATCCCAGGCGCACACCCATGTACCGCTTGTCAGGCCATGCTGTGGCGGCGTCCCACATAAAGTAGAGGAGGATCGGCACGAATGTTAGCTCAGGGCCAGTCTTCCTCAGCAAAAAGAGGAGATTGGCATGGATGTTAGCTCAGGGCTGATCTTCCTCACAAAAGAAAAAAAAAAAAACCTCATAACACATGGGGGCTGGCCAGGTAGCTTAGTGATTAAGTTCGTGCACTCTGCTTCAGTGGCCCATGGGTCACCAGTTCGGATCCCAGGCACGGACCAACGCACAGCTCATCAAGCCATGCTGTGGCAGTGTCCCATATACAAAACAGAGGAAGATGGGCATGGATGTTAGCTCATGGCCAATCTTCCTCACCAAAAAAAAAAAAAAAAAACCCACACACCTCATAATACATGTTGTATGATCCCATTTATATGAAATGTCCAGAATAGGCAAATGCACACAGGCAGAAAGCAGATCGGTGGTTGCCAGGGTCTTGGCGGGGAGTGGGGATGGGGAGTGACTGCTATTGGGTATGGGGTTTCCATTTGGGGTGATGAAAATATTCTAAAATTAGATTGTGGTGATGGTTGCACAACTCTGAATGTACTGGAAACCACTGAATGGCACACTTTAAAAGAATGAATTTTATGCTGTGTGAATTCTATCTTAATAAAGTGGTTATCAATAAAAACCCCATAATATTCAAAGAGGTTACAAATGGTAACTTATCCTTATTCTCACCTCGAGCCAAAGGACTCCTTTCGTTTCCCGAGATCCCATTTCAGACTTTATACATACCTTTAGGGATTTTTTGAGCAGAACTGTAATCATAGTGATTCTATCAGTATTGAGTTGTGATTCCAGACATCAGCTTTCCTATAGTTCTCAGGCTATAGGAGAAAATCTCTCATCCACCAGGCTGTTGATTCTGTGCTAAGGAAAAAAGAGGAAGGGGACTGGTTAGGAGCTGACTACACATGACATGGCTGAACCAGGGCCAAGGAAGAGAAAAGGAGGAGTGAGAACAAGAACTGGTGCCCGAGACACCTGTCTGAATCGAGAGGGCCCAGGGACCATGGCCACCCTTATGACCTATGGCGTTGCCTTCCGCCCACTCTGCCTCTCCTTCTCTCCTGTCATTAAGGCCAGAGGTAATGACAGGCTAGTTAGAGTTGAGGACAAATGACCATCTGAGGCTGCTCATCCTGATGGTCACCAAGTACTGATGTTTTTATTTGAGACAAAAAGAATTTGGTGTCAAAGAGTTTTGTCTTGGTTTTTTGTTATAGATGAGAAGTACAATGATGATTCTTCTTTTTTTTCGTTGTGGTAAAAAACACATCATGTGAAATTTACCATCTTAACTATTTTTAAATATACAGTTCAATGGTGTTAAGTACATTCACATTGTTGTGAAACAGATCACTAGAATTTTTTCATCTTGTAAATCTGAAACTCTATACCTATTAAACAACGCCCCTCTACCCCCAGCTGCTGGTAACCAACAGTCTACTTTCTGTTTCTATGAATTTGACTACTTTAGAAACCTCACGTAAGTGTAATCCTACAGTATTTGTCCTTTTGTGACTGCCTTATTTTACTTAGCATAATGTCCTCAAGGTTTATCCATGTCAAGGATGATATGCATGTCATCAGTGTGACAGAATTTCCTTCCTTTTTAAGGCTGAATAATATTCCATTGTATGAATATACCACACTTTATTTATCCATTCATCCATCGATGGACACCTGGGTTGCTTCCACTTTTTGGCTATTGTGAATAGTGCTGCCATGACCATTGGTGTGCAAATATCTCTTCAAGACTCTGCTTTCAGTTCTTTTGGGTATATACCTAGAAGTGGGATTACTGGATCATATGGTAATTCTGTTTTTAACGTTTTGAGGAATCACCGTACTGTTTTCCACAGCAGCTGTACCAACAGTGCACAAGGACAATGATTATTCTTATTTCGCTAAGCTTGGGCAACAGGACAACACTGGCATTTAGTCTTCCAAAGAAAAAATGCAAGTGATAGCTCTGAACCAAGTCTAGTTATTTAGTAGGATCATTGCATTCTTCAGTAAAAAACTATGACAGTTGAGGGGCCGGCCCGGTGGCGCAGCGGTTAAGTGCGCACACTCCGCTTCGGCAGCCCAGGGTTTGCAGGCCCGGATCCCGGGCGCACACCGCTGCACCGCTTGTCAAGCCATGCTTTGGCGGTGTCCCATATAAAACAGAGGAAGATGGGCACGGATATTAGCACAGGGCCGGTCCTCCTCAGCAAAAATGAGGAGGATTGGCATCGGATGTTAGCTCAGGGCTGATCTTCCTCACACACCCACAAAAAAAACTATGATAGTTGATTTGAAGGTAGGACTCTGCTGTTTTCATCATTTTTCCAGCTGGCAAAGAAGCACGACATGGTGGTGATATCCCCCATCCTGGAACGAGACGGAGCGCACGGGGATGTTTTGTGGAACACAGCCGTGGTGATCTCCAATTCTGGAATGGTCCTGGGAAAGACCAGGAAAAACCACATCCCCAGAGTGGGAGATTTCAACGAGGTGAGCTGCCCCTCAGACGACCAGCCCAGCTAGCTTGCCTTTCTGTATGCAGATGTCTGTGGGCCTTTCTATGAGGGGAGTTCTGCGTCAGATCAGGTCATGTCACTCAACGCTGCAACACAGTGTGCCGCCAGTGCTCAGGGGCCCCTGCCATTACCCCACATCACACGGGCAGATGAGATTCAGGTGGGACTCCAGGTGAGTCCCAAACACCTTTAGCACAGAGGGGTATTTTCTTTTTTTTAATATAATCTGATTTGGCTTCCTGAAATTCTTTTTCAAAGTAAATAGTGTATAAATTAAGACTAAAATAAATAGTGCAGGGCCGGCCCCGTGGCTTGGTGGTTAAGTGCGCGCGCTCTGATGCTGGTGGCCCGGGTTCGGATCCCGGGCGCGCACCGAGGCACCACTTCTCCGTCCATCCTGAGGCCGAGTCCCACATACAGCAACTAGAAGGATGTGCAGCTATGACATACAACTATCTACTGGGGCTTTGGGGGGAAAAAATAAATAAATAAAATCTTTAAAATAAATAGTGCACAAATGTGAAATGATTCCTGTGGCCCCTTTCAGGCTTTGAGCTCCTCGCCTATCACAGCCTAGTCCTTGTTTGGTGGGTAGGGGTCCTTGTCCGTGGCTCACATGGGGTCTGAGCCAGCTATATCCATGTGTTAGGTGACAGTGGGTGAATGTGCATGTCTGTGCACCTTTGTGTTATGTGGGGCTTCATGCCCATGAGCAGGGTATAAGTCAGGGGAGCTGTTTTGATTGGTTAATGCCAATTCGTGGGTTGGGGAGGTTGGAGGGGGTGGACATTTGAATGAGGGAAATGAACTGCACCTTATACCTAATATATGAAATCTGAACTTCATCTGCAATAAATAGTTGTTCAGGATGTGTTGTCCCCAGTCCTTCGCTGCCTTCCCTGATTGTGGAGGTCCCAGCCACTCTTAGTCTGGTCAGGCGGACGAGAAAGGATCTGTAGAGCTAGCCGAGGTTCCCTGGAGAGAAAGAACCTGGTGTTTCTCAGTAACAGCTGGAGGTGGGGGCGGGAAGACATGTCCCTCACCTGTTTGCCCTGGGATTAATCTTTAGCTCCCTGCAGATGGTGAAGTGCTTGTCTCAACACATCAGGATCTGCTCCTGTTTCCACCAAGTGTGCACGTCCTGGTTGCTGCCTGACCCTGGTGAATTTTGAAATTAACGGGAGGAGGTGAAATGCTCTGGGAACAGATCTATTTGGGACCCCGATTTGCTCTCTACCCACCCCTCAGTGCTGTCCATGAAAATGTCCTAGGGCCAGCACCTTGAGGGGGCAGGTGGAGAGGCAGGGATGGCAGGACTGTGTCCCACCTGCCTGCCCTGCAGGGACGTCCTTAGCCCTGGGCAGGCTGCCCAGAGAGCTTTGTGGAAAAGAGCACTTCCAGGGTGTGGGTCCTAGTCTCAGATTGCCTTTCTTCAGCTGGGCAAGTCACGTGCCAACTCAGGCTACAGTGTCGTCCCCCGAGCAGGCAAGGGTTGCTCTGGGTGAGCTTCTGGTCCCTTCAGCTCTGACGTTCTTTACAGGGACATGTGGTTGGTGAGGACATTGACCAGCTCATGTTAACATTGACCAGACCTCAGCCTTTGGCTGTACCATAACCAAAATGGATGCTTGAAGTACTGTGGGCAGTTGCTTTGGGGGTTTTTTTGACGTATCACAAAAGAAAGTGTGGGTAAATGCTGAAGCCACGGTGCTTTCCCTTTGGGTTGGCTTGTAGTTACTGTGTCTGGGGGTTTTTTTGGCTTTTTGTTTTCTTTGAGCATATTGAAATTTTGAGACTTGGAGTCACACCGAAGAGTATTGCTTTTGGAGTACTGGTGCTAGTTCCTTTTTCCTGTCAAGTCTAAGGAAAGGGAAATTTTACAGCTCAGAGGCTTCACTATCCGGCCCTATGTTTTTCAGTCGACTTACTACGTGGAGGGAAACCTGGGCCACCCCGTGTTCCAGACTCAGTTCGGGAGGATTGCGGTGAACATTTGCTTCGGGCGGCACCACCCCCTCAACTGGCTCATGTACAGCATCAATGGGGCCGAGATTGTCTTCAACCCCTCAGCCACCATCGGAGCACTCAGGTCGCTCAGCAGGCAGGATTTGGGAGGGTTCTTGGGGCCCTGCTATCCCAGGTCTGTGGCCAGGCTGCGGGGCTCAGAGGTGGGCTTGGTAAACTGCAGCAGGCAGGAGTGACCACCAGGACATCTAACATATCTGAGCCCTGGGATTGTGTGTTGTATATTTAACCAAGTTTTCCATGAAAAAAATACTCAAAATGTCAATTACAATCCCCCCTAAAGAGGAGCTCTGCTGTAAAATACTGTCCGTGGCTGTGATTCTGAACACTGAGGTGATACTAATCCCATCCCCCACCCCCAAGGTTGTCAGGATTCATAAAAGCTCCTCTTCTAAAGGGCCCAGAGCATGGTAGGTGCCTGGCCAGCCTTAGCTCCCCTCCAGATCACAGCCACTGTCCTCCTGAAAGTGGGACAGGCTTCCTAAGCCTCGTGTCTGCAGCACGCAGCACGTGGAGGGCAGACAGCTGGAGGAGAGAAGGAGCGAATGAGGGAGTGGGAGCCGAAACGGTCCTTAACAGATCCGTCAAGTGGCTCTGAAACTTGTTTTTAACCCATAAAGTGTTTTCTTCTTGTAACACCTAACGTGTATGTAGGTGTTAGCCTAATCCTGAAATAGATAAAACTGTTCTGATCAAGGCAGTGGAGTGGGCCCTGGCAGCCCTTGAGCTTCTTGGCAGGACTTCTGGGGCCCCTCGTTGAATAGTGGCAGGCGGGCTAAGATGACCCAGCATGACTGCACTTCCACAGCTTCTCGCTTCTCCAACGGCTGAGCTTTTGGGTGGTTTCCAGTTTTGCATCATTAGCAAGTACCAGAGCTCTAGGAATTGGTGTGCAAATATCTTTCTCCCCAGCTCACTTCCTCCAAAGCAGGATTCATGGATCGGGAGGTACTGGCTTTCCCTCTGTTGTCCTGGTTGCCAGGGCCACAGCTGGGCGGGGGGCTAGGTGGGGAGGGGAGTGTCCCTGGTCCCTCTGTGGGGGGCAGCTGGGGGAGTCCTGGGGGGCCGCTTTGAGTTCCCTGCTGGCCCACACGTGTCACTCTTGTCCTTGCTCTTGACTCAGTCAAATTTCTTCTGAATGTCAGAATGTGACATTTACCTTTTTTTTAAGCATGGTGCCCCCTTCTCAAGAGTGACATCCCCTCAGCATTCTGATTTGCAGAGCAGGTCCCTTATGGAGGCAGAACACAAACCCCATCTGCTACCTCAGGTCCCCTGCCACCCCACCCATCCATGCACCTGAAGGTCCTGTCTGTGTCCCAGAGGGGTGCTGTTGGATAGAAAGGGAAAACCAGGTCCTGGATCTCCCCTCAGAGAATCTCCCCGGGCCTCATGGCACCCTGGTCACTATGACAGCGTCTGTTGGTGGTTTTGATGTGGGATGATTACTGGTCATCTAGCCATAGGCCTGGGAAGAACCTCTGGGCCACCCCTTGGAGCAGCCCCCTCCTGCCGGCCGTGTATAAGACATTCAGCAAGCTCCATCTCCCCTCAGGGGTCTCTAGAGGAGCCTGAAACCGGCACCTGGGCATCTGGGCCTGAACTGGCTCTTGAGCCTGGGCAGGCACAGCTGTGGCCTTGGACTCAGATGGTCACCTCCCCAAGCCCACTCCCTCAGGCTTTTATTAGCCCCCATTAAGCAAACAGAAGCACCTCGATATCATAGCCACATAACTGCTTATGTCCTCAGCAGCCTTTTAGGCTTATTAAAAATTATCAATTTTCCTTCCTCAGCCAACAATTGTCCAACTCTTGCGCCTTTCAAGGGTGTGATGAGGCTGGCAATTAAAACGATAACAGGTCTTTCGAAAAGCACTATGTTTCATGAGCTCCTAAAATGTTCACACCCTTTGACCAGGTAATTAAGCTCCTAGAACTTTAGCCTGAAGAAGTAATCTAAAAGAGGAGGAGGGCCGGCCCCGTGGCTTAGCGGTTAAGTGCGCGCACTCCGATGCTGGCGGCCCGGGTTCGGATCCCAGGCGCGCACTGACGCACTGCTTCTCTGGCCATGCTGAGGCCGTGTCCCACATACAGCAACTAGAAGGATGTGCAGCTATGACATACAACTATCTACTGGGGCTTTGGGGGAAAAATAAATAAATAAAATTATGAAAAAAAAAATAAAAATAAAAGAGGAGGAAAAGGCCATACACATGAAGATGTTTCTGGCAGCGTTATTTATAATAAGAGAAAAGCTGGCAGTGAGACATGTCAGAGTTAGGTAAATTTCAGCCCGTGTCTTCCATGGGTTATTGTACAGCCACAAAAACGAGTCATCATGAAGATAATGCAGCATCATGACAAAAGCCTATGAGCAAAAAAAGATGTTTCCAGGCTATTGTCGGAACTCTGTAAAGATTTTTTGCCAAGGATGGTCATGGAATGTGGAAAAATTACAACAGGTGGTTTATTAGGTTGGTGGGATTCTGGATGAGTTTCTTAAAAGGATAAATGATCATTTGTGGAATTGATGGTGAATGTTTTTAAGCACATATTGGGCAAATCCCCACCAGCTGCACACAAGCATCGGCTCACAGTTTCCGGAACCATCCATCCCCTTCTCTGGCATCTCCCGCCCCTGTATCAGACCCGCCCCCGTGACCCCCCCCCCACATACACGTGCACTGTGGGTTGGCAGGGTGTCCTCATTCGTTCTGGGGTCCCACAGGTCTGAGCACACAATGGAGTCAATGTGCTTTCTGATGAACTGAGTCATCCTGACAATCTGTGCAGCCCGTGTGGTCGAAGATTTCTGCCACGTGTGTGTTAACTAGCTTGTCGCCGTCCCATCTCCACGCTGCGTTTTGCCTTCCCACTGTGACTATTTTTAGGGGCTTGTGTACACTGCCCTGGGAATATGGCAGATGTCCCCACACCCCCATCGGGCTCCCCACGATTTCCGCAGGTGGTGGGCTCTCAGACCTTCCCTTTGCTGGTTTTAAGAGCCTAAGTTTAGTGCCAGCTGTGGGTTTGAGTCCCATGCAGCACGCCTGTCCTGGAGAATTGCAAGAAAGATGCTTTGTGGCACTCGCCCTGCAACTGTCTATTTAATTCCTGAAAATGTCATTTACGGGTGGGTGTGTTTCTGTAAAAATCCTTTCTTAAAAGTTTTGTCAGCTTGGCTTAGCAGCTGGGGGGAAAAAAGCAGCAAAATGAGTCCCCTTAATCAAGCCTGTGATTTTTTTTTCCAGACTCGTGAATCCTCCTGAGAATTAGGCATGTGACAAGCACCCGCCCCCTCCACCTACTCCCTGGTTTAAACCAGGTGCATGCTGACAGGAAGGAAGATTCCTGGGCATTTTGCTCCCAGTCACTCAGTGTTTCTAAGTGGGCATTATGGCTGTCAATCCAGAATCTTAATGATGTTCTTCCTCAGACAAGAGATCATTAGTGACAAGAAGGCCCACTGAGTTCCATGGCACATTGTAGTTGGTGGGGTGGAAAAGGACAGGGTCTCTGGGTGGGACGAGGTTTCCCACCACATCCTCCCCTTTGTGGGTGCTGGACTGAGGAAGGCCCACAGCTCAGCTGTGTCTGTGGGGTGCCTCTTTCCTGGGGCAGTAAGAGAACTAGGGAGCCCGTGCTTAGAGATTCAGGGTTCAGAAGAGGCAAACAGGAAAGCGCTGGGAAATGGAGACAGGCTCAGGGGAGGTGACACTTGCTGCAGAATCTACCCACCCACCATTACCAAAACTCCTTTCAGGTTTACTGTTTACCTGGCCTGAAATCTCCCCCTGTGGAGACTGCTTTGTAAGGCAACACAGCAGGGTGGGGATTGAGGCAGGCAGTGAGAGCCGTTGTAGGGCCGTGCACATGCCTGCAGGTGCCTAGCCCCCTTCTGCAGCCCCCTTCTGATGTTTATCAGGTGAGGCTCTGCCCAGCCCGGAAGGTGGGTTCCTGACCCGACCCAGGAGGAGGGAAGGAGTGAGAAGTAGCAGTTAGGGAGCTCCTGTCACGCAGCACCCTCCCCACCCCAAGCTTCATCTGCATGGTCCTTCGGTCTTCACAATCTCCCTTTGAGGAAGTTTCAGAACAGGAAACTGAGTCAGGGTGAGGCTTTGATCCAGGGCTGCTTCTGTCTGCAGCAGGCCCTCCCCAAAAGGCTGCTTAGGCTTGAGCATGGGACAAGCTGAGGACTTGTGGGTTGGAGTCACCCACGGGCACAAGTCTCCCTAGCTGTCCCCACTGTAGGCCGGAGAAGGCCGGCAGCCGGCTGCAGCTCCAGGCCAAGCATCCACCGAGTCTGGCTGGGAAGTCAGCAACCTGGTTCTTCTTGTTCCTCTCTCACAGTGAGTCCATGTGGCCAATCGAGGCCAGAAATGCAGCCATTGCCAATCACTGCTTCACCTGTGCCATCAACCGCGTGGGCGAGGTAGGTCCCCAAGGTCTGGCCAAGCTCCTAGTCTTGGTCAATCAGGTGTGCTGGGGAGGGGACAGCCATAAGCCTCAGTGGAACCTGCCTGCTGAGGGAGGGCCGGCCTCTTCAGACCAGTGAATGCCACAGAGAAAGGAGCTGCTCTCTGCTGGCCCTGGGGGACACGTCACCTCTCTGCTCCCTCTCTGCGTGCATACCACAAATCCTAGAGTCCCAGAAGGGGGGAACTGGCTTGGTGTGTTACTTTTAAAGATATCACTATGTCCTTCCTGTATTTTCTTCTGTTTTTTTTATTGTTAGCTGAAACCATTTGGAAAGGCTCTTCCCTGATCACCACCACGTATCCATTTTCTTATTTTTCCCCGTTGATCCCGTGTCCCGAAGGATTCTGACTACCAAACACAATGCATTTATTACATAATCATCCTCTTCCTTGTTTTTGTTAATCCAATGCCATACTCTAATCAGAGCCTCTGTTCAGTCTGAGATAACCAAGGTTTCCACACTAAGTCGATCTAATTTCTGGCAACATACAGAAACTCAGTGTTTTAATTGGCCTGGGTAACCCCATCTCGGCTTGTTGTGCAGTTTCCATTAGGCTTTGGGGAAAATATTGAAAACAGTGTGTGGACACCCCCTTGCTGCCTTCGCAGACCCCAGGCCGGGGCGTCGTGACTCCCGCAGGCAGGCCTCTGATGCCTTCTGCAGCCCTGAGAACCACTCTGTGCAGGGTCTCTTTCCTCCCAGCAGATTGTAAACTCCTCAGAGGCAAAGTCCAGGTCTTTACCTTGCTTGTCAAATTCCCTGCGGGCTGCCTGCATTTGCCCAGTGCTAGGGACTCAGCAGGGACATTTCATAAGTCCTTGTTGATTGCCCAGTGCATCCAGACCATCCCACCCCACTTGAACTACCGCCGCCTCGCCCGACTTTGTGGTGAACACGGTGGTGGTACCACCTATAGGTGTATCTCCCCTTGGTTTGATTTCACAGGAGCACTTCCCGAATGAGTTTACCTCTGGAGATGGGAAGAAAGGTATGTTCCATGAATTTCCATGGTGGCTACAGTTGAAGAGTGGGCCTCACTTTCCCCTTCTCTGTCCGGGCAGGTTGGCCCCTCAGGCGGTGTCTGCACATCGGGGAAGTTGACTCCTCCCGGCCTTATTGCCTGCAGCGTGGGAGGCTGACTGTGCCCGGGGTGTGGGTGGGCAGTCTTGGGCTTGTGACCACCTCCTTCCTCAGCTGAGGATGGAATGGGGATTGGATCAGACTCCATCCCTCCCCTGGGACTGGTGTGAAGATGGACCCAGATGTGGGGAGCCCTTTGTGAGCTCCCTGAAAGTGGGGGTGCTTCATCCACCTTGCAGACCTCCCTCCCTCCTCTCCCTTGTCCTTGTCCACCCATCCCCAGAGTACCAGCATGGATTGCCTTGGGTTCCTTGATCCAAGGGCAGATACCACCAGATTCCTTTGCTAGGAATCCACTGCCCCCTGGTCCCACCTCTCTGGCTGGGAATGTGGGAGGGAGGGGCTGCTCCCCTCACCAAGGAGGTATCTGAACTAGCTCAGGGTGTCTCCTGGGAAGCCAGAGGGGATCGAGCGGCTCTATTTCCCAGAAAAGCACTTGCTGAAAGGGTTCCAGCTCCCCCCAATCCACTTGAGGCCTTGGAGGCCTCCAGAATCTCCCATCCCAGTTAGCTCCTGCAGATGGAGGTGCAGAAGAGGCAGGGAAGTGAGGTGCATGGGCACCTGCTGTGTCCTGCTAGGCCCTGCACTGCGCCCACCTGCTCCTTACACACCTTTGGAGTGGCTGTTAGCCACACTTTATTGATGAGGGGACTGAGGTGTGGCGAGAGGGGAAGGGGGAAATAGCTGGCAAGGCAAGTGAGGATAGAGCCTCCAGCTTGCTGTGTGGGGCCCCCACAAGAAGGGGTCAAACAGGAAGCCCTGCAGAGCCGTGTGACTCCCTTGGGCTGTGGGTGGTTGATGTGGGGAGCGAAGGGCCAATACCTCTACAAGGGTGACCTTTAGAAATGTTCCTGGGGGCAGAAGTGAGGGCTGTGAGGGTGACTTTTGCAGCAACTTGCTGGGCCTTCAGGCCTGAGGGCAGAGACAGGTGCTTGGGGCTTCAGCATTTGGCAGACGCTGGGGAGGGTGGCATGGACCCTTGTCCTAACTGTCCCTTGATGTGCCTGCCCCTCTGCAAAGTCCACCATATGTCTGCACAAGCTCACGGCTTCTTTCCTTTGCTCCTTCGAAGCTCACCAGGACTTCGGCTACTTTTATGGCTCGAGCTATGTGGCAGCCCCTGACAGCAGCCGCACTCCTGGGCTCTCCCGCAACCAGGACGGGCTGCTGGTTGCTGAGCTCAACCTCAACCTCTGCCGGCAGATGAATGACAGCTGGAACTTCAAGGTGGGTCCATGAGTCCCCTGCTCTTGCCCTGCTCCTCTCCTTGGGCCCCCATCCCGCTCTCAGGGCTGCCAACAGCAGTTGCTGGGTTTGCCCTCGGGGACAGCCCACGTGAGGCTCGGAGTTGAGCAGAGGGCCGGGTCTCTGCCTCCTTGCAGGCCCCTTGCAGCCCAGCCAGGGCTGGTGTGCAGGGGAGGAACCCATGGGTCGGTGATGCCCAGGCAGCAGGCCTCAATATATAAAGTCTCCTCTCATCTGATTTAGATTCTGGGCGCCTTCAAACAAATTAATCTCAATTTCATTTGTCCAGAGAATAGAGTGGACTGGCTTCTCTAATCCTTTTTTCCTTCCCAGGCATTCGCACTTATCACAAGATAAATGTGTGTGTCTGGCTCTGGCTGTGACCAGGCCCTGCAGTCTAGGCCTTGACAATAGAGGGAAATGGGTCATGCAGAGAAATAGAATCTAGGCCTGGCTCTCCCACCACCTTCTTGGTCACCTTAAGCAAGCCCCTTCTGCTTGTAAAATGAGAGACTTAACTCGAGGATCCCAAGTGGGCTTTGAGATCTAATAACAGCCTATGACACCAGGGGTCATGAGAGGAGTGTAGGTGCCCGTCTGCTGGAATAGGGTGGTGGCAGCCATGGCCTGGAACCCCCTAGAATATGGCATCTCATCATGGATGCAGATGGAGTTTGCTGTATTAGTGTCCGGCAGTATTTCCATCAAATCAGCACCCATTTGTAAGCAAATCATACATGCAAATGAATGTCACACTGTCATGAATGAATGACTGAGCAGCATGTCTGAGAGAAACCAGGGCTTCTGATCCAGCAGACAAGGGCTCCAGGCCCGCTGCCCCATTTACCTGATGTGGGTCCTTGGGTACATGCCCTGAGTTGCAGATCCTTGTCAGACAAACAAGGCATTGCCCAAGTGAAAGTCTCCTGGCCCATCTCTCCTCTTCTTGGGAAACTCAGGTTAATGCAGGATTCTGCACAATTAGAAATTGGAACCAATAACAGAATGTTTTCTCATTAGTAAGTTTTTGAAAGCAGAAGCCTTCCCAACCTATGGTGATGGGCATGAGCTCCTATTAAGGCTTTGGGAAGGTGGGAGGGAAGGAATGCGGGGGTGTGAGTGCTCTGGGTGGGCTTTCCAGCCCCACCCCCACCCTCTCCCAGCCTCCGTCTGTGTCCCTGATGATGTCCTATGGAGTGGACAGACTTCTAGACCCAGAACCAGGAGACCAGGGTGCAAATCCCAGCTGATGCCACTCCTGGCTGGTGACCTGGAGCGGGTCACTCCCTTCTCTGGGCTGTAGGCTGCTCTTCTGGGTTCTGCAGGACCACAGGAAAGTCCTCTTCCCTCCTTCCTTGAGGCAGGCCACACCTTCTGGATAGACAGCTCTCAGAGGTCTTCCAGCAGGAGGGGCCGGGATGTGTGAGTCACCTCAGCATCCGTGGTCTTCACCTCAGCATCCGTGGTCTTCACCGCAGCACGGGAATCAGTGCCAAGAGGTCACACAGGGGTCATTTCTCTATATGATAGTCTGAAATTGTCCTGTCGACCAGCCTTCTTGTCGCATTCCTGTCCCGTGGCTGCCCTCTAGTGGCAAGACATGGTGGCAAGTAAATGAAGGGTGTTTATAAAATGGGAACCTCTAAAGTTCATATTTTGCTTTCAGATGACGGGCAGATATGAGATGTATGCACGAGAGCTTGCGGAAGCTGTCAAACCCAACTACAGCCCCAACAATGTGAAAGAGTAGCTGGCCTCAGGCCCTGCCCACCAAAGAGGGCATCTCTGCCCCAACAGATTAGCAAGGCGGCAAGCTTTACAAGTCCAAGTTCTCCCTGATGATGCCTGATAACGTTGCTTCCCATATTGGTTTAAAAATGCCTAGATGGGGTATGTAGAATGAGGAATGACTGCTTAATGGGTATGAGGTTTCCTTCTGGGTGACGAAAATATTTTGGGACTAGATAGAGGTAATGGTTATACAACCTTGTGAATGTTGTATAGTTTAAAATGGTTAATTTTATGTTATGTGAATTTTACTTCAATTTTTTAAAAGTGCCCAGGCACTGATAGTGCAGTTTGATTTGAAGTTAGGCAGATGGGATGCCCCACTCCTGAGGTTCCTCATGTCTCCATTTAGATTGTCAGCAGCTTGAGGGTAAGGGTGGGAGAGGGCGAGGCTGGTCCAGAGTCACCAAACTGTTAGAGGGCTATGTGCCGGGGGGCAGTCAATGGATGTGTCAGCTTGGCTAGCTGCAGTCTCCATTATTCAATCAGACACTAATCTGGGTGTGCTGTGAAGGTATTTTGTAGATGTGATTAAAGTCCATAAGCAATTAACTAAGCAAGTGAGATTATCCTAGATAATCTGGGTAGGCCTGATTCAATCAGTTGAAAGGCCCTACGAGCATAGCGAGGCTTCCCTGATGAAGAGAAAATTCTGCCTGTGCACAGCAGCTTCAGCCCATGCCTGAGAGTTCCAGAGTTCCTGATGGCCTTCCCTACAGATTCCAGACTTGTCTGTTCAGCCCCCACAATCCCTTAGGTCAATTCCTTTGAATAAATCTCCTAATATATATCCTACTGGTTCTGCTTCTCTGGTCGGACCCTGACTGATATGGATTCTGGTACTGAAAGTGGTTCTAGAGGAACAGAATCTTAAGGATGAGTTTTCTGCATTGGTTCCAGGTTTTCTGGAATTATTCTCTAATTTGATTGGATTGTGTGTGTGTGTGTGTGTGTGTGTGTGTCTGTGTGTGTGTGAGGAAGATTAGCTCTAAGCTAACATGCGTTGCCAATCCTCCTCTTTTTGCTGAGGAAGATTGGCCCTGGGCTAACATCTGTGCCCATCTTCTGCTACTTTATATGGGATGCCGCCACAGCATGGCTTGACAAGCGGTATATCAGTCCGTGCCTGGGATCCAAGCCTGTGAACCCCGGGCTGCTGACGCGGATCGTGTGAACTTAACGACTATGCCACCGGGCCAGCCCCCTAATTTGATTGGATTTAAAGGCACTGATGATTCTATTTCCAGTGGTAAGGAGGGCAATGGTAGTCCATGGTATGATGTGGCAATTGAGATTTATGTATAGGGCAGGCCATCAGCCTGTGTCCGAGAGTTCCAGCCTGCCCTTCCTGGTGGCCTGCCCTATCTAGGAATTTTGGGCTTGACTAACCAGACCCCCGTCATCATCTAAATCAAATCCTTGTACTAAATCTTTTTTTTTTAAGGAAGATTGGCCCTGAGCTAATATCTGTTGCCAATCTTCCTCCTTTTTTCCCTTTTTTCTCCACAAAGCCCCAGTAGATAGTTGTATGTCATAGTTGTACATCCTTCTAGTTGCTCTATATGGGACACCGCCTCAGCATGGCTTGATGAGCAGTGCATAGGTTTGTGCCCAGGATCTGAACCGGGGAACCCTGGGCCGCTGAAGTGGAGCGTGCGAACTTAACCACTATGCCACCTGGTTGGCCCCTAAATCTTTTTTTATCTTTGTATACATACACACACGCACACGCACACATATATATCCCCTATTTATATAAATATATCTATATCCCCTACTGATTCTGCTTCTCTGGTTGAGCCCTGACTGCCTGACTGACAGCAGGTTACTCACCTCTCTGCACCTTGGTTTCCACGATTGTAAAGTGGGACCTGTCCTGCTTTATGTCACAGGACAGTGGTGAGAGACACACTAGATGGTTCAGGGAGCCCCTTGGCAGTTGTCAGGTAAGTGCCTGTGTGGGCTCTTGTGCCATACAGCAAGAGTCCAGCCTGTGAGTCTCAACCCCCTGCAGCTGACCAGAGGATTGGAGGTGGGGGTGGGTCCTCCGGTTCCACCCTGACTGCTCCAGGTAAGAGAAGGCAGCCTTATCCCTTACCTGGCCCAGCAGCTGAACTCCATAAACACACCCATGTCAGGGCTGGAGTGCTCTTGGACAGCCACCTGGGATAAGAAAACTGGATGGAGCTGCCTGGCCATAACTCTGTGTTAACCCCCTTACCCTCTCTGAGCTGTAGGCTTTTCACTTTACCTATTGGCCTTCTTTGTACCTTACGTTTTCACCAAAGCCAGTCCTGCAGACACAGTGAGCTTTTCTGTTTGGCCTTCAGTGTCCAAAACCTTTGTGCCTGTTTTTCTTTCTTTCTTTTTTTTTTTTTTGTGAGGAAGATCAGTCCTGAGCTAACATCCATGCTAATCCTCCTCTTTGTGCTGAGGAAGACCGGCTCTGAGCTAACATCTATTGCCAATCCTCCTCCTTTTTTTTCCCCCAAAAGCCCCAGTAGATAGTTGTGTGTCATAGCTGCACATCCTTCTAGTTGCTGCATGCGGGACGCGGCCTCAGCATGGCCGGAGAAGCAGCGCGCCGGTGCGCGCCCGGGATCCGAACCCGGGTCGCCAGCAGCGGAGCGCGCTCGCTTAACCACCAAGCCACGGGGCCGGCCCTCAGTTGCATTTCTATACACTAACAATGAACAATCTGAAAAGGAAATTAAGAAAACAATTCCGTTTACAACAGCGTCAAAAAGAGTAAAATACTTAGGGATTAACTTAACCAAGGAGGTGAAAGACTTGTACAATGAAAACTACAAAGGGGGCTGGCCTGGTGGCGTAGTGGTTAAGTTTGCATGCTCTGCTTCAGTGGCCCAGGGTTCGCAGGTTCGAATCCTGGGCGCAGACAGACACACTGCTCGTCCAGCCATGCTGTGGCAGGCATCCCACATATAAAAGAGGAAGATGGGCACAGATGTTAGCTCAGAGCCAATCTTCCTCAGCAAAAAAACAAAAACAAAACTACAAAACCTTGCTGAAAGAAATTAAAATAAGATCTAAATAAATGGAAAGACAGCCCATGCTCATGGATTAGAAGACTTAATATTAAGATGTCAATACTACCCGAAGCAATTTACATATTCAGTGCAATCCCTATCAAAATCCCAATGATGGTCTTTGCATAAATAGAAAAATCCATCCTAAAATTCATATGAAATTTCAAGTGACCCTGAAAACCCACAACAATCTTGAAACAGAAGAACAAAATTGGAGGATTTATACTTCCTGATTTCAAAACTTAATACAAAGCTATGATAATAAAAACAGTGTGGTGCTGGTATAAAGACAGACACATATACCAATGCAATAGAATAGAGAGCCCAGAAGTAAACCCTCACATGTATTGTCAAATGATTTCTGACAAGGGTACCAAGACCATTCAATGTGGAAAGGACAGTTTTTTTCAACAAATGGTGCTGAAAAACTGGATATTCACATGCAAAAGAATGGAGTTAGACCCTTACTTTACACCATAAACAAAAACTAACTCAAAATGCATCAAAGACCTAAATGTAGGAGCTAAAACTATAAAATTCTTAGAAGAAAACATAGGGGGAAATCTTGATGTTGGATTTGGCAGTGATTTCTTGGCTATGACATCAAAAGCACAGGCAACAAAAGAAAAAATAGATAAATTGGACTTCATCAAAATTAAAAACTTTTGTGCATCAAAGGACACTATCGACAGAGTAAAAAGGGAACACACAGAATGGGAGAGAATATTTTCAAATCGTGTATCTGATAAGGGGTTAATATATAAGAAACTCCTAAAAATAACAAAAACCCAAACAACCCATTAAATGGGTGTGCGTGGAAGGCCTTCCTGGTCGCACACCTCAGTCTGTGATGAGCCATGGGCTCTGGAACGCAGGTGTCTGTGAGGTGCAGGCTGAGGGCTGGGCTTCTGCTTTTATTTCTCCATGTTTCTCTTCTCCCCAGCTCTGGGTGCAGAGCAGGCCCTCAGGGGAAGTCTGTTGAGCAAGGAAGGCAGCTGGCTCAGCTGGCACTGTGGGTAGAGGATCTCATGGCTGGGGACTGTGGTAATCAAAAGAGAAATCAGCTTTTTATTCCTGATTGTAGTGAGCAAGTATTTTATAGAAAATTTAGAAAATAAGGAAAAATATGGAGAAGTGAAAAAATTATCTCCAGTCCTCCAACCCAGAGACAGACCATAGCTAACATTTTGGCATGTTTGTTTTCAGTCCTTTTTATGCCTATTTTAACATAATTGGGGTCATAATGTCTGTATAATCTTGTGGTGTTCCCTTCTGTTTCACAATATAATGTGAGCATTTTCCTTCACCATAAAAAATTGTTTTTAAACTCTTCACCAGCTGCATAATGTTTGACATGTAGGCAGTCCCTTATTTATTTAATTATTACCCTACATTAGACACTGTTATACATTTATTCATCCATTCATTCATTCACCACTATTACAAATGATGCTGGTATGAACATTTTAATGGCTAAATTAGTCTTATTTCTATAGTTTTCTTCAGGGTATGTTCCAAGAAATGGAATTCACTGTGTTAAAAAGCATCCCATCTTGTCAAGAACTGGGAAGAATCTGAGATCTTACCCTATTCACAAGCTGACAAGTTAGCCTACTTCAGTTTCATGGATGCTGGCAGAACACACGACATTCCTGGGTCAGAAACAAAGGAATTTATTACAGCAATAGTAGCAGCCAGAATACTGGCATTTTCTTGCAGCAGTTCCCCAAGCCCCAATTACCACAGGATAACACAAAGAGGGCCAAGTGACTCCTGTACGTGTAGTGGGTTGCATTCAGGAGAGAAAGGGAAAAAGAGAGAAGAGAGCTTAGAGAATTTGAATCTTTTATACTAGACAGTAAAGTATGCCTGCTCCTTGCTCTAAAGGCACTGTCTCTATCTACCAAGGTCACAAGAACACCTGCCTTTTACTTTGGAGGGAGACCTATCTCTACCTTCCAAGGCTGTGGACTAAACAAACATCCTTGAAAAGATAGTCCAGGGCAAAGGTATTCATGGTTTTAACTCACAAGTCATGCAGAAATGGGAGAAATGTGAGACACCCACAGCAATAACTTCCAACAGTATCCACCCCTCATTTCTACACCATCTTCTGGCAATTTCCGCATGAGTATACCACTCCATCAGTTGCTCTGATTAATCTGACCAACAGAGGCTGGACCAAATCAGTTCAGTTTATCTCACAGCATTTAATTGATTTCATCCACAGCACTTCAAGGAGCCTAAGGAGCCCAACCTGCCCCCTCAGTCTTGCCCTGCCAAGTTCCTCCATCCAACAGACTGGACAAATCTCATATACTGTCAAGATCTACCTTAGAAAAAGCCATGTGGCTTTCTCAAATA